GGACTGTTGGTGCAGTGCACAACACAACACAGTTGTGCTTCCTTGAGGCGTTTACCAAATGACTCAAAGAGTGACTTCCACATAGGAGGGTTAAAGCTGAATATGTGAAGAACTTGACTAAACTATTAAATGCTGCTGTTTATTTAATCGCTTTGTGTAGGACGTTCAGCAATAGCAGTAGTGACGGCTGTTTCGACCCGTTTGAGTTGGTCCAGACCCCCACGCCCTCCACCTTGGAGAGGTCCTTTGACAGTGTTGCGCAGGAGAGGCAGCATCTGCTGAAGGTAGCTGCATGTATTAAACATAAGCATACCCGACTGAGGGCGCTGTTCCATCTAGAGTCATAAGAGCAAAACTGGCCTCTTTTCTCAAGAGGGGGACATGTTCGAAAAATGGGGATTTATTCCAACACTTTGGCAGTGTGTCTTTTCAGTTGAAGAAAGGGCTTCCGCCGTGTACCTGAAAGTATAAGTACAGTTTTCTGTAACAATTTTATTTTAAGAAATGCAAATGAAAGAAATGTTAGTGTATTCTGATAAAGAAACATCTCGAAAAGTTGGAACATTCCTGTTCACCTTAGAGTGATGCTTTACAGAGCTCTGTTCCCACTGAGAACAGCAGTTGTCCCCATTTAGCATAAACAATGTTGGCATAGAGGTAAATTTTAGATAAATAGTTTTTACATGAAGTCCCCAAACTGCGTGCTCACCATGTCAACGGGACATCTTTTATTTGGAGGTAGCATGGAATTGGATGTGCATCAAGGTGCGATACAGTGTAGTGATGTGCGTTTTAACCAAGAGGGTACATCCTCTCCCCCACCAGGAAAACTGTCGGCCAGGTTTGCGCTGACAGTTACTAGTTATGCGGTTTGACGGTTCAGAAGTTTAGTGAAATCTTATTAGAATCGAGGTGCCTCTTTCACGAAAAGTGAAGCGAAAAAAAGTTAGTTTTGGTCCAATTTTTTTTCCCGGTTGTTCCCCTCCGGTGACCAGGATTCAGCCCAACTTCATCAGCTGTGGCTGCTGATCCAGCATCCGTCCAACGGCATCATGTTCCAGAGCCACCGGTTCCGCCTGCGCACCTACAACGACTGCATCGTGGGGAGCGAGCTGGTGGAGTGGCTTCTGCTGAAAGACAAAGCGGCGCACAGGTAGGCCACCATCAAGGTCTCTAATGGGGGTCACTCCCCCCCCCTCGAAAATGGAAAAGTTAAAATGAAAGGAAAAAAAGGGGAAAGAAATGTAAAAGAAGGGAGGAAAGGGGGTGAAAAATCACCATTTTGCTTGAAAATGCTTCAGAATTGAGCCCCCCTTTTGATGAGTGCTTCCCTTCCCCTCTTCCTGTCCCTTGGTAAGAGCTTTATTCCCTTCCTGGTGACACTCATGGCCACCTTGCGTTTTCCCCAATACACATTGTAGAAAAAACTTACAGACTGTAGAAAATATGCCATATGAAATCTGTATGAGATATTAACCGATGTTAATATTATGAAATTTTCAGGACAAGCAGCTCAGGGTAGTTCAATTTTAGTAAATTCCCTCAGCCAACATAAAGTGTGACCAGCCAATAGCCCAAGTTACTCTGCATCAAGAACGATGTAGTCGATTTGGTGTTTCATGCTACTTTCACTGCCAGAATTGTCCTGTGCAATTTCAAATGTTCTGTCGGCAGAATAAACTCGTATTTAATGAACAGCCTCTTTGAGCAGTTTGAAAAAAGATTGTAACAATATGCCGGGCAGAATTTATTGTTTATCAGAAAAGGGTCTTTCCGCATCAGCATGTTTTTTCTGGACAGACTGCAGGCTGTTGCTATTGGCCAGGCACTGCTGGATGCCAAGTGGCTGGAATGCGCCACCAGTAATGACCAGATCTTCCGTAATGAGTACGCGCTGTACCGAGCAGGAGAGGTACGTCGTAAACTAACAAAAAGTTACTATTACAAGGGCCACCCTATGACATGCCTAAAACTTGTGCCATAGGCAGGAAGTACATGCATGTGGACCGCCAAACTTTTTGTGTGTTTTGGGGTCGTAACTTGCAGCTGGTCTCTCAACTGTCCCATGTCAAAACTTTTTGAAATTTTGACATTCATTATGACCACATCTGAGTTAGTTTTACATTTATTTTTGGTTTATTTTCTGTCCTTGTAAGCAAGTGTGCATTGAGCATTTCAGTGGAAAAGGTTAACATTTGGGGCAACCTGTGTTAGAAAAATGAGCATGTTACAAGAACGCTATGTCCAATTTTCATAAAATTAATAACAATAATAATATCAAAGCTTTTACATGTATAAGGCGCACATTATCGAACATAATCTGCAATTCAAAGGTGCCGATAAATGATCATTATCCCTGCACATTGGGCTCACATCATCTGAACATTCCTTAAACCATCTCAGCTCCCTGGGGAGTATACTATCCCCATGCTGCCATTGCAAACAAGGCAGAAACGGGTAAACATCACCGTGTCAGTTAGTGTCAAAATGATCGTAAAACATTATTTGAAACATTCTTGAAAGCTCAGCCTGAAAGAAAAAAAGCACTGTGAAGACATCAGTGAAAATGTTTAGGGGCAGCAGATTTTGCATCTCCCTCTGGCTTTTTTTGATTAAATACAAGGTCTTTGCTGAACAATTACAGGTCCCTTCATTTTGTATACTAAGACAAACAACTTGCTGATAACATGGATGACACTTATTCAGAGAACTACTGTGTTTTAATGTAATTTTTCACCGAAATCTCTCATCTCAAAATTGGCCATGCAGCATTTTTGTGGACCATGGAATATGATGCCGTCAACCAGGTTTCAAACTGTGACCAATTCTGCGCCGTTGTTACTTAAATTACCATAAATGTGTAACTGAGAGAGCTGTAGGCAGCGAGGTTTGATAGTTTACTCCCCCTCCCCATGTTCCAACATCAGACGGCTGTGTCCTCGGCTCGAAGGAAGGACTTAGACATCAGCCTGACGGCGGAGGGGGAGCTGGACGAGATTGAGGACAGGATGGAGCCCAGCTGGTTCCGAGACATCAGCCAAGAAGACAAGGGGGACCTGACGGATGACGACAGCTTGGGTGGGTATTCTCATTGCTGGATGCCTGGTTTTAAGTACGAGATTGTATTACTTCCGTGCTGCTTGTTCACAAGCACCTCTGTGGACTCCATGATGGGAGAGTTGATACTGACAATGTGGTCACTCAAATAAGTGCACAGGACTCGCCATGTGTACATAGTTATATTTTAAATGCATTGTGTTTCCCATTCTTATATTATTATAACACTCTCCCATAGACTAAGCACAGACATTGACCACTGAGGACAATAGACTGACTACTTAGCGAGGACAATCGATCGACTACTGAGGACAGGGAAACGTGCTTTATTTCCTTTGTAACACTCTGTGATCAAGCAAAATATGCTCTGGTTTATGCAATATGATGCAGTGACCAATTTGCGTCTGCAGTGATGGTATCATATGTGATTTGTTTGGGTAAATAAAACAAATGATGAGTAATTAATAAAGTGGAATTTTAATCATCCATATGCAGATGGTTGAAATATGTACAGTGTCTTGCCTCAGTGCCTTTTCTATCACTGAAAAAAAAAAATCAGTGCATTGTAAAGATGACAAAGATGAAGCAGTCCCATTGAATTTTTGGGTTAAATTCCCCTTTTTGTTAGTTTTAGATGTTGTTTTGCAAAGAGTGTATGAGATTTCTGGAAAGACAAATTGCTTTAAAAATAATTTTTTCTGTGCATTAGCTTTCTAAAGTAACTTTTATTTTGATTCAGCTAATTTTGGTGAATTAGCTTGTTGTATTGCTGTTAATTTGAATAACGACAAGTAAAGCTTTCTGTCCCAGATCAGTTTCGATTTTAAAGACTTCTGCCTCTGCCTGGTTGCTATTTATTTTAATTTTCTGGCCCTACTATTCTACCCCAGCCTAAATCCTCCTAAATTTGATTTTACCTGAGTTGTGCTTTTTGGGGTCCCTCTTACGCATCTTGCAGTAAAAATTATGCCAACCCCGGCAGAAGATACAGACTTTGTGCCAAAACACCGGCGGGGCACATCAGTGGGTGACTCCATCGGTACATGGACCAGAGGACTGCGCCCCACCACAGACCTCTTCACCTCGCCCAGCATTGACAAAGGTACCGTGGGTCATCGGCAAATGAGCCTTTACCCCGTCATTCACATCATGCCACAAGATTCCTCCAATATTGGTCATGGGATGGGAGGGAAATGTTGGAATACAAATTAATGATTAAGACAGAAGTGTGTTATGTTTGGTACCAAAAATCTTCTAAGAATAAGCTAGCTTAATGCCATAAAGTTCCTAAGCAGCAATTAAAAGCTTAACGATCCTGAGTACTTTCAAAAAATCTTCTAAGGATATGCTAGCTAATTGTCATGAAGTTCCTAAGCAGATATTAAAAGCTTAGTGATCCTGAGTACTTACCAAAAATCTTCTAATCTTTATCTCTGTATCCATTTTTTTTTCTCATGAACCTTCAAAATTAACATGTAGCTAGAAACACAAGCGGCACATTCTTTGGACTGGCTTGTTTTTTGGGGGGGGCATCTAGCCCATATCGCCTGGCAGTGACTGTGTTCCATCTTCATGATTAGTGCAAAACCCTCTAAGCACCCATTTTTTTTTATTACAAAACACCCAAGAATTTTCAAGAATTTCTGTCCATTTTTCGAAACATTGATAGCTTTACTTTATACCTACTTTCCCTTATCCCTTTGCCCTGGCAAGCCTCAAAGTTCACAGAACAGCACAAATGAAAACTGATCAAAAACCTCTAAGCTGCTGGACATGAGACTAACTTGGGCATTGATGGGTGTGTTTGTTTGGCCCATGGTTTGTTTGTTGTTACACATTTTGTTTGTTTGTGGGCAAATCCATGCTTATCGATTGCACATTGATTGTTATCTTCAAGGTCCCTCACTGCAAAATGCCTGATAAGATTTCCGTTCCTAAATGCAGGCACCGTGGAAATCATGCAGAGGGAAAACTCGGGTACCTGGGAGCAGGAGGGATCGGTTCCGGGCATTGGAGAAGTGTTTCCAAACGGTAAGCTGGATTTTATCCTCATTTTGTGAAATTGCAGTATTCCAGACTATTCAGTTTGGTGTTCCTTTCTCAATCTGGAGTAATACAGGGATGTCCACAGAGAATGGGATGAATTATGACCCACTTTATCAAAATGAGAATTCAGACACACAAAAAGTTGATATCAGATTGTGACATTTTTTCAGTGGCACTATATGGAGCAGAAAAATGCTATGGTTTGTACTGTGTTCGTTTCTCATTTCTCTTCAAAATGATGGAGAAACTTGTTGAAGAGTTTACCAAGGAGCCTCAAGAAAAAATTGGAACCAGTACTTTTTGCTGTTTTTTTTTCTTGGAGGATCAGTCCCAGTGAATAATGTGTAAATCTAAACCCATATGCACAAGTGTTCTTAAAAGTTTTTGGTGGTTTTTTAACTTAGGTGGCTAGACACTATTGAACACAGGGGGCGCTGTTTCAGTGGATAGGATTGGGCAACATTTAGGAAATATGTAGGACAATTAACCACTTCCTGCCGGGGCAGTTATCAATGTTGATGATGCTGGGCCGGGATATTTATCATTTTTTTCTGCTTTCAAAATTCTTTAAAAATTCCTATCTTCACTTACAAACATGTGAAGGACTGTCTGGTGGCCTCTCTAGCCTGACAGACAAATCTATTGACGCCTGAGTATTTCAGCTAGGCCTGCAGTCTTGTAAAAAGGGCCCAGATTGTGTGGTGTTATATAACTTTCTTTTTTTTACAAACCTGGCTCAGTGCACTGCTGACCTCTTTTCAA